GCAGACATCTTTTTGTCTTACTCCTGATCTTTGGGTAAAAGCATTTTATCTTTCAGTGAACACCCATTAGCTGTAGCCTCTTCCCAGATTCCCTTTATCTGGATGAGGAAATGGAGGTCTTCATTGGAAGCATTCTGTCAGCGTGGCCAGCTAGGAGGAGGCAATGTCCTGCAGAAAGTGGACTGGAGACTTAAGGGGAGTCCTCACTACAGATTTGATTTGAGTGTGAGAATAAGAAAAGGCCTTATCAAGGGGGTAGTTTGACCCCTGGACATGGATCTCCCAGGAAGTGATCACAGAGAGAAAAGGAGAAAAGAAAGATTCAAGGACAGAGACATGTGAAGAGGAAGGGAGCCCAGAGAGAAGGGTCTGAGAAGGAGGAGATCCAGCTGATGCAGAATGAGAGAAGCGGCTCAGCCGCTGGACCCCTGCGGAGTAGCAGGTCAGACTCGCCTCAGCAAACCTAACAGCCGCGCACACAGCTTCCCCACGCCAGGTGGCGCTGCGGACCACCTAACAACCACACTTGGCTCTTCTGGTTTTCTTTTCATTGAAGAGAAATTAATGTGAGCCAAGAGCCTGGTAAGGCCTTATTTAACAGATAAGAAACCAGAAGAGGGACTGTGGCTTGCCCCAAGCATGCAGGAGCATTGAGGCAGAGATAGGGCTGCCTCCTGGCTCCTGTCCTCCCTGATTTATCCACCAGTCACCTTCCAGAGAATGATCTAGTACAGCAGGATCCCGATCAGAAGGGAGCGTGTTGGGTTGAGAGGCCCACCAAGCACCCGGTCAGTGTGCGGTGAAATGCACTTCCTTGGTTTTCCCTTCCTGCAACCCTAACATCTACCTTGGTCAAATTTGTTAGACTTCTTTCCCCTGTAGACTGAACTTCCAGGACGATGTACCTGGAGTCCGTCTTGTTTGCAGCCTATCATCAGGCTCCAGCTGAGGCTCTCTAAAGTGGTCAGAATTAAAGCTGGCCATGCAAGCGGGAAACAGTGGTATACACCTGTAAGCCTAGCACTTTGGGAGGTTGAGGCAGGAGGATTGCAAATTCAAGTCCCACCTGGGCAACTTAACAAAAGCCTGTCCCACAATTAAAAAAACAAAAAACAAAAAACTTTAGTGGTATTGATCCTCAATACCACTAAAGTAAACAAACAAGCAAAGGTGGCCATGCTGGTAGGGCAGGAAGGAGCCAGCCCTGGGAGTCGGTGCTTAGCAGTATCTAAAATACATCTAGGAGTGTTTGTCTAGAATCGTGGGCAGATAATCAACTGTTTTCTGAGTTTGCACAAGTGGTGTTCAGAATAGAATGGCCTGCCAGAACCACAGAACTGAGTGTCCTCCAGAAGGGCCCACTTGGTCTCATTTCCATATCTCAGGACTTGGTGTATTTAGTGTGTGTGAAAATAAAGCCATCCCTGCATTTAATTTTATTTCTCAGTTTGGGAAATGTGGGGTACATCTGCAGTAGATAGGTCTCAAAGGGCATTTGTCCTGTTCTCCAGAGACCACTGAGCCAGACAATGACAACACAGTGGGACCCACAAGCTGATGGGTGACAAGTAGCCAGTGTGCCATTCTTTGGACACATTGACTTTGGATTGTGTCCTGTAGGACCAACACTTCAAAATACCTCCCTCTCCTCTCTTGCAACTGGTTGCATCTTGCTATCCGAGGGTTTGAGTGTTCCCAGTGTGTAGTGAGGACAGTTGCTGGCTACTGGAATGCAAGTTTGTTACCAATGGAGGCCACCAATCTCTTTACTTGAATAGAGACTGCCAGAAAAGGCATGGGGATGAAAAAATGACCTAAATACACGTTCTTTGTTTCTATTTCCTATTTCAGTGTTAAGTGATGTATAAAATTTTGCTGTATTTTTTTGAGAGTACTCAAGATTAGGTGTTAGGAAGGAAATAGAGACTCTGACCAACAAGAACAAGGCCACAGGCTTCAGATCTTCTGAAAACCATCATCTGAAACCTACTGTCTTCCTGAAGAGGGAGGGTCCATTTTGGCTGGGGAAAAGCTAAACCAATATACAGGACAGGAAATGAGCAAGGGGAGAGGGAAAGAGAGAGCAGAACTGATTCTTCATGCAGAGAGGTCTGGGGAAAATTCTGGAGACATTCTGAAGTAGCTGTAGGTTGAGATAAAAGTGTTCCACCACTAAAAGTGACTCCAAATGTCTTGGGATAAATCCTTTTAAAACATAAGTCATGAGGAACAAATATATAAAATAAAGAATATGGCAAGCATATGTCCAGAGGCAAAATCAGGAATTCTGGTTGGCTGGCTGGTTGGGCAGAGGCTGTGTGCCTCTTCCAGATGAGAAGCGCCAGGCTAACGTGCTTGGACCCAGCAGGAACTGCTTGTCTGGAAGCAAGAGACTGGGCCAGTTGATTTCTCCATTCCCTGTCCGTCTTCTGTGTGATGAACAGTGGCTATGATGGCAGAGTTGGGGAGTTTAGCAAGGGAACAAAGGCTTTGACCCTTTCGAACACTCCTTAGCTGGCTCCCTGGGATCACATTGTTCACCATGCTCTTAAGCACAGGGCAAGTATGCAGGTGGGAGTGACATAGATGAACCACAGGCACAGGAGGGAGAGGGAAAGGCCACTGAAAAAACATAACACCCAACCATTTGAGTCCAAGACTCTTGGTTTAAGTTAGAATCTAGTTTCATTTATGTGTGTGTGTGTGTGTGTGTGTGCATGCACCTATGTGCAACCTGTGAGATGTGGTCTGAATGTTTGTGCCCCACTTTCCCAATCCATACATTGACACTAACCTCCAATGTGACAGTGTTAGACAGTGGGACCTTTCGAACATGGTTAGGAAATAAGGATGGAGCACTCACAACTAGGATTAGTGCCCTTGCAGAGAAGGTGTCAGAGAGCTCCTATGTGCCCGCACCATGTAAGGATACAGCAAAAAGCCAGGAAGTGGATCCTCACCACTCAAGTTTGCCAACCCTTTATCTTGGACTTCTCAGTCTCTAGAAGAGGGACAAATAAATTTCTGTAGTTTACAAGCCACCAGCCTATGGTGATTTTTTAGCAGCTGGAATGAACTAAGACAGCGTGTGTGTGTGATTTTGAACTCACTCACTCCTCATGCTAAATATCATATTGGAGGATCAGGCAACAGTGTAACAAAATCCACAGTCAACAAATCTTTTGTCCATCACACTTTAAGAGAGCACTATATAATTACAAATTATCAGATCTTTAGTAATTACCATCTTTTAAAAATAATCTTTATTAAATAAGCAATGAGTGGCAAAAAACCAGCAGAGCAATGTTATTCAATGCAAGAATATTCTGTTGCTCTCCAAATCCCAAATAATAAACTCACTACAATGGCTTTGAATATAGAACAGAGGTTCTGATTCAGGAGCTCCCGTTAGAGTCTAAAACTCCAGCCTACACCCTGGTATATATATACTAGAATGCTCTTGGCAAGGTGAGGTGCACACACATTTTATAAACTTCAGCAGTTTTTTGAAATGGATGGTTATATGTACAGTCATTAAATGTACAGATTTTGGCACATTCTTTTAAAATATGACTTAACTAGGAAAATCACACGTATAAAAAGTGATTGCATTCATTAACCACATTCCATTCCTCTACCCAGGATTCTTAGAATCCTCAACCCAGAACCTAGACCCCAGAGCTCTTCATTATGTTCATTCTCAGACCATCTCCTGCCCATTTTTCACTTTCACTGAAGATGTAAAATCAAAATATATCTGCTAAGTGCCACCACAGGCAAGGCCTTGTTATAGGTGCGGTCGGTGGAATAAAGCATAAAGTTGCCACTAAAGGGTTCATATCTTCATTCCTAGAATTCTTATTTTCTTAGCACTGATAGTTTTTTCTACTCCAACGATCAGTCAGGTAAGAGTTGATGTGAAACCACTTTTTTTGTTTGCCTACTGTTCTTGATCAGCCTTAATTGGCTCTCATCACATATGCTTACCTTTAGGCAACTGTCATGATTGTACTAGTGTTTGACAATTCAGGGTGTGGTCTTTCTTGTCATGGACCTAATGTTTTAAATGAACTTGTCATTAATGTCAACTTTATTGGAGATTTCTTCATAAGCCAGGCAAGAAAATATGGAGTGTAAACACATTGCTCTTGTAGAACTTCCAGGTTTTTAGTGCATAACAGTGTCCTTCTGATTCACACTTTAATTTCCTGTGGTTTCAGTTACCTGGGGTTAACCATGATTGGGAATGGTTCCAACCATTCCCATGAAATGGAAAATTCCAGAAATTAGGTGACTCATACATTTAAAATAGCTTTTATTACAGTATAAGAATTATTGTTGATTTTAAAGAATTGTTTCTAATTTATAAACATTATTATAGATACAGGAAAAAAACCCCAGGATACTGTATATATAGGGCTTAGTACTCTCCATGGCCCCAGATCTCTGCCGGGGTCTTGGAATACAAGCCCTGCAGATTAGGAGGCATTTGTACAGCTATTAGAATGGCTGCCGTGAAGTATCTACTGAATGGTCAGTTTCTTTATTCTTTCTGGAAATTCATGTTTTTACATCTGCAGCTCCACAAAGGCTGTAACCATCGCCAGTTCTGGATGGCAGCCTGGCACCAGTGTGAGACTTGACATTCACTTCTTCCAGACAGAAGAAAAATTCATCAACTTGTCTTCCTTCCTACATGGTTTATTGGGCACAACTCTCTGGAAAATTTTTTAAAAAGTTACAACTAAAAGTATTGCATATTGGTGCATGATATTATTCTAATATGGTCATATTTCTTCCTTGTTAAATGGATTGCAATTCATTGTTAGTAATCAGTCAAATCTAATTATTCAGATAATGAAAATTAAGCTACTAAGACTGTAATTTCATTTTGGAGAATTTTTTAGTCAATAAAATGATGTGTGTTTGTGTGTGTAATAAACAGTCCTCCTTCACAATTTAGTTGTCTATTGTTTGTTGGAGGTAAAGAGTTAACCAGATAAATAACTTGCTTCATAAATGCAAATCCATGCTGTGCAAAATGACGTAGGAACGTGAGAAAGGAGAGAATAATCAGGAGGTTGGGCCAGGGGGTTCTGCCCTCGAGAGGCAAAGGTGGGAAGTGGCATGTTTGTGTGTGGCATCTGCTGTCCTCTCATCTGAGAGCTGAGTGTGTGTTCATCAGGGTAGCCCTCTGCAGAGTGTCAGTGCTCTGGAAGAAGGTCCTTGTCCCATGAGTCACAACACAGGGTCCTTTGATTGAGGAAGTGTTTTGTTACAATGTTTGTATGAAGAGAAGGCTCAAGGGCCCACAGTTGTTTTCTATGCACAAGTGTATATTAAAAGCTTACTTCTTTCCAAGACGAATTCAGTTAAATTCTTTCTCAGCTGGACTCACTGATGTGTTACAAAGAACGGATGGAAATGTAACTTACACTTGGATGGTCTACACCTGACAAGGACAATATTCATTGCATTCTTTAATCTTCCTACAATGCTGGTCTAAAAGTTTCTTGAGAAAGTTAAAGCCAAATTTTATAATCCCCTTTATATGTAATCTTATGGTTTAGGTCTAAAATGTTCCCTAACAAGTCTGTGTGAAGAGGTAGGGCTTTCAGGTTGATTGGGCCATGGAGGTACTGTGCTCATCAGTAGATTAATTCATGGATGAGCTCATGGCTGAATGTGCTGTTAGGAGGTGGGGCCCAGGACTTAGGTCACTTGGGGTCTGCCTCCGGAGGGCACATCTCTCTCTGGGTTTTATGTTCTGCTGCCTGGCTGTTATGGGTTGAGCAATTTTTCTCTGCATTCTACCACCCCATTTCTGTCTTGGAGCCAGCTCACCACAAACTAAACTCTTTGAAACCATGAGCCAAAATAAATCTTTTCCCCTTTAAGTGGTATATAACAGGTATCTTGTCCCAGCAATGAAAAGTGGCTAATATATCTAGCATGGGACCAGAGTGCTGGGTTAGAAGGGAGCCAAATCAAAGTGATACTTAGGCTTAGAAGTCTTTAGCATCCTAGACTATAGTCTGACCATTGCTTTTTTCTGTTATAATCAAGGCCACCTTTGCCACTCAGCCCATCATTCAACAAGGAAAGTTCAGTCATAAAAACTGGTTTGAAAGCTTATTTTAACTAACAGATCCAACAAATGAGAAAAGCCCTTCAATCTGTGGAAACAGACATTTCCAATGCCTTGCTCTTGGGGACATGTGACACAAAATGATCCATGAGAAAAGTAAGGCAAGATCTGGACTACCTGAAATTGTTTTGTAAGATCCTAGTTCAACTTTGTCTAAATACATGGACATCCCATGTCCATGAAGCATTCATCCCAGTCCCAGAAGCATTTCCGAAGGTCACCTAGGTTCCTCAAGAGGGTCGTCTCCATAGGAAAAACCAGCAAACTAAAACTCTAGAATGTAGAGGATGTCTAGTCCACTCAATGCCATCTGTGTAAGAGGGGCATGCATTTGCACTGTTAGGATGAGAGTGCAACCTGTTACTGCAGCCCAACCTTAGGACATTCTGAGATGCCAAGAAAAGGTCTGTTTTCAGAAAAGCAGGTGTCAGAGCACCAAAACAGGGGGGGAACAAAGTAGGTATTTCCAACAAAAATGCTAAAGTGTTAGAAGCCCTGAAAGATGATCTTGGGTCAACCCTTGTAAGACTGGTGGGTTCCATCCAAGGTCTAAAAGTTTATTCCTTATTTACTTATTTAGGGCATGTACTTACTGCCCGTGAGGAGGTAGCATTTGAGAGGTGTGCACAAAACATAAGGATGCAAAAGTGGGCCATGCAGAGGAGGGGCTGGGACGAGAGTAGGCCTGGCCATTGCTGGAAGCTGACCAAGTACAGGCCTAAGCTTCATGCTTCCCAGCAGCCTGGCCCGGCAGGAGGGACCCGAGTCCGCAGGTACCAGTGAAGAGGTGTCCCATATAAAGACAGTTTTCTGAGAAAGTTTCAACCGATGTTATTATTATTAAAACATGTGGGCTTTCCCAATTAATCCTAAGGGCTGAGGGGTGGGCCCAGGGCCAGATGGTGCCATCCAAGCCCAACCTGAGCTACAGGGAAACTGAACCATCTTCCTGAATCTCAATTTTCCAAATGAAGCCATATACCTAGTGAGACTTTTTGAATACTTTCTTTTAAACAAATCATCTTTTACAGTAGAACCCAAAATCCAGGCAAAATTTTATGAAAAGATACCATAGAAATACTATTTGGCTCTACGAGCCACTCTGAGCCAGAGCCCAGAGGCCTGGAGACGGAGGCCCACTAAGTGGGTGCCATGACTGGTCACAGCCACAGGTCAGCGCTGCTAGACCGTGGGCAGCAGGGCTGCAGGAGAGAGAGAGATGATGGAGAGACTGGGGTGGGGGTGGGGCAGCACAGACCTGATCTGAGACCAAGCTGGTTCCTGGGTCTGCAGCTGTCTGGATTCAAGAATCTTGCCAGGAGGGCTCTACTGAGCAGCAACATACAAAGGCAACGTTTTAGGTAGACTTGGAAACTTCTTTTCTTAAAATAAATACTCAAATTAAGACTACAGGGCTCCTCAAAAGCTTTTATTATTCTTTTTCTATTTTTTTTTTCCTGCACCAGCACATGGCTTGGTACACACTGCCAGGTAGGCATTTAAAAATCTAGGTTTTTTAAAAAATAAGCAATTTATAACACTGGGAGGATTGCATTTCAGTATTTCAAAAAATGTGGTTATTCCTGGAAAGGGTTTATTCCTCTTGACTCTGGAAAGAGAGGTTTTGTTCTCATCTTTTCAGCCACCTCAGACAGTGGCACATCTAGATAACACTTAAATGCTTTGGAAGGGTGATAAAAAAATTCTCAAGAAATTCAAGAGCCTTCACAATTGCTGGGAAGACATGGCTTCTGCAGCCTAGGGCAGCTTCACAGTACTCGGGGATACCTCCCCTGCCGGATTCGGATTCTGGGAGTCCTTGGCAGAGGACAGACTAACGGGTGGGGGTAGGGGGTCCTTGAACTTGTCCAACTGGCTCCAGGCCTCCCACAGCTGCCAGTGGTTTAGCAATTGGAAGCCTCCTTGGGCTCCCGGAGTGGCGAGGACCAATCAGGCATTCAGGGCCATCATCAAAGGGAAGCTTCCTTCTCCTTCCACTTCATTACCTGGTATTCGATGTACGCACTACATGGACAGAGTTCTCACCAATTAAATCTTAAAATAAATTTCTTAAAATAAACATCACTCCATACAATTCTCCTAGAAAAGTCTTTCCAACTCTATTCTTCAATGTAACTTACAAAATGTGCAAAAAACAAGCACTCTCTCCAAATAAATAAAAAAGTGGGAAGAGCTAAACTCTTTGTTTTCTTTAAATTAAAAGTTTAAAACACCAGCTGCACTTCAAAGTATTTGCAGGATGAAATGCATCCAGAAGATGATTCAGAACAGCTGGCGGTCCCTGCTACAGTTCCGAGCGGTCCGCCCTGCTCAGAGTTCACGCTGGATGCCCCCGCTGAGATCTGTCACCACGCCCTCACCGACCAGCTTCTGGAGGAACTTGGTCTCCGTGGTCACGTTGTGCATTGTCTGCCAGTTCATGGCAGCCATGCACAGATTGTCAAAGTAGTGCAAAGGCATTCTGGGTTGACTGAGGTCATATCCAAAACCTGCCAAGCTCACCTCATCACACAGATGTGTGGCTAAAACCACGGCAATAATGCCCATTGTGGGGACGTTCTGAAAAAGAACAAAGACCAACATTAAAAAGTTTTAACATAATTTGCTGCTTTGCAGGTACTGGATATGCTATGCAGTCATACAAGCTGCATTGGGGGCTCTAATTTTATACATCATGTAATTTTACCTATCAATTTTAAAGCCTCACACTCCATGCAGGTCAGAAATCTCTTTTTTTTTCTTTTAAATTGAATTTATTGGTACATTCTAGGTAGACAGTACAGTTACATTCATTACTGGGATCTTGTACCTTTACATGCCAGGTCTTGGGTCTCATTTTTTTACCCTTGTCCCCACCCTCCCTTTACCCCCTCTTCCCCTCCCCATCTTCAAACACTTTAATTCCATTTTTACATTTTCTCATATTTTTTTCCTTTTCCTTTGTTCCCCTTTCCCTATCCCTCTCACTGTCCCTACACCTTCGGTCCTTTTCTTCCTATTTCATGTTACTAATTTCCCATTAGGATCTTGAGTACTATTTTAGTTCTTCACACCAGAGAAACTATTCGGTATTTGCATATGAGTGACTTATTTATTTCACTTAGGAGTATATCCTCAAAATGTACCCATTTACTTATGAATGAATCTACTTTCTCATTCTTTATGGCTGAGTAGTATTCCATTTTATCCAGTTTCCAACTGATGGGCAGATGGGCTGTTTCCAAGTTTTAGCTATTACAAACTGTGCTGCTATAAACATGGGTGCGCATACTTCTCTGTGATATGATTCTTTTAAATCTTTTGGAAAGATACCCAACAGAGGGATGGCTGGGTCAAATGGAACCTCTAATCCTAGCTCTTTGAGATATCTCCATATTGACTTCCATAGTGGTTGCACCAGTCTGCACTCCCATCAACAATGGAGAAGGGTTCCTTTCTCCCCACAACTGCACCAACATTTGTTATTGTGTGATTTCTTGATAGCAGCCATTCTTTGTGGGGTAAGGTGAAATCTCAGTGTTGTTTTCATCTTCATCTCTCTAATGACCAGTGATGTGGAGCACTTTTTCATATATTTACTTGCTGCTTTTATTTGTCTGAGAAATGTCTGTTCATTTCAGATGCCCATTTTAGAATTGGGTCTTTATATTTGGGGGGCTGATTGTTTTGAGTTCTTTATATATTTTAAATAATAGTCCTTTGTCTGAGGAGCAGCTGGTAAAAAGTTTTTCCCACATTGTAGGTTGTCTCTTAGTTCTGTTGATGGTTTCTTTTGCAGTGCAGAAGCTTTTTAATAAGATGAGATCCCAGTTGTTGATTCTTTCTGCTAGTTCCTGTGCTACTGAGGATTTGTTCATAGTCTTTTCCTATGCCAATGTCTTCCAGAGTTCTGCCTAACTTATCTTCCAGCAAGTTTAGCGTTTCTGTTTTAATATTTAGATCTTTAATCCACTTGGATTTTAATTCAGTGCGTGGTGACAGATAAGGGTCTAGTTTTTGCAGGTTGAGATCCAGTTTTTCCAACACCATTTATTAAAGAGGCTATCTTTCCTCCAGTGGGGACTGTCACCTCCTTTGTCAAAGATGAGGTAGCTGAGTGCATCTGGAGTTGTTTTTGTATCTTCCAATCTGTTCCACGGATCCTCAGGTCTGTTTCTTTGTCAGTACCATGCTGATTTTATCACAGTGGCTTTGTAGGATAGTTTCAAATTGGGAATTGTTATACCCGCTGCCATGTGTCTGTTGCCTAGGATGGCTTTTGCTATTCTACATCTCTTCTGGTTCCAAATGAATTTGTGGATTCTTCTTTGTAGTTCTGTGAAGTATAATGTTGGGATTTCAATTGGCATTGCACTGAATTTGTATAGCAGTTATGGTAGTATGGCCATTTTCACTATGTTGATTCTTCCTACCCAGGAGCAGGGAACATCTTTCCATTTTCTTATATCCTCCTCGATCTCTTTTTTCAGAGTGCTGCAGTTTTCAGGGTAGAGGTCTTTTGCTTTTTTTGTTAGATTGATTCCCAGATACTTCATTTTTTGGGGTGCTATTGTGAAAGGAATTGTTTCCCTAATTTCTTTCTCAGTGAGTCTGTTATTTGTGTACAAGAAGGTTGTTGATTTTTGGGTGTTGACCTTGTATCCAGCTACTCTGCTAAAAGTGTCAATTAAGTCTAGAAGTCTTTTGGTGGAGTTTTTTGGGTCTTCAATGTAGAGTATCATATCATCAGCAAATAATGACAGTTTAACTTCTTCCTTTCCTATCTTTATTGCTTTAATTTCTTTCTCTTGTCTAATTGCTATGGCTAATGTTTCCAGAACTATATCGAAAAGGAGTGGTGATAGTGGGCATCCTTGTCTTGTTCCTGATTTTAACATGAAAGTTTTTAGTTTTTGGCCATTTAATATGATGTTGACTGTTGGCTTATCATAGATAGCCTTTATTAAGTTGAGACATAGACCATCTATTCCAACTTTTTGCACAGTTTTTATCATGAATGGGTGTTGAATTTTGTCAAATGCTTTTTTCTGCATCTATTGAAAGGATCCTGTGCTTCTTGTCCTTTACTTTGTTAATATAGTATATTATATTTATTGATTTATGTATGTTGAACCATCCTTGCATCCCTGGAATAAATCCAACTTGGCGAGGATGTATAATCTTCTTGGTGATCCTCTGTATTCTGTTTGCTAGTATCTTATTGAGGATTTTTGCATCTATATTCATTAAGGAGATTGGCCTTAATTAAGGAGATTCTCTTTTTTAGTTACATCTTTCCCAGGTTTGGGAATCAAAGTGATATTTGCTTCCAGGAATGAATTTGGAAGTATTGCTTCTCTTTCAATTTCATTGAAAAGTCTGAAGAGTAATGGCAGTAGATCTTCTCTAAATGTCTTATAAAATTCAGCAGTGAATCCATCAGGACCCGGGCTTTTCTTTGTTGGTAAGTTTTTAATTACATTTTCAATTTCACTGATTGTGATTGGGGTGTTTAAAATGTTTTTATCTTCGTTCAACTTTGGTAATTCATAAGTATGTAGAAATCTGTCCATTTCTTTTGTATTGTGCATTTTATTAGAGTACAGGTTCTCATAGTATTCTCTGGATTTCTGTGGGATCTGTTGTGACTTCGCCTTTTTCATTCCTAATTGCATGAATCTGAGCCTTTTCTTTCCTTTTTTTGATAAGGTTTGCTAAGGGTTTATCAATTTTATTTATTATTTCAATAAACCAACTCTTCGATTCATTTTTGTATCATTTTCTTAGTTTCCATTGCATTGATTTCTGCTCTAATCTTTATAATTTCCTCTCTTGTTTGAGTTTTGGGTTTTTCTTGCTCTTGTTTTTCTAGGAGTGTAAGAGTCATTGTTAGGTTGTTTATTTGAGCTTGCTCTGTTTTCCTAATGTGGGCATTCAGTGCTATGAATTTTCCACGTAGAACTGCTTTCATTGTGTCCCATAGATTCCTGTATGTTTTATTGGCATTTTCATTTATTTGTAAAAACTGTCTGATTTCTTCTTTAATTTCCTCTGTGATCCACTAATTGTTCAGGAGAGTGTTGTTCAATTTCCATGTGTTTGTGAAGTTGCTACGGTTTCTTATGCTATTGATCTCCAGCTTTATTGCACTGTGATCTGATAATATACAGGGAATAACTTCAACTCTTTTGCATTTATTCAAACCTGTTTTGTGAGCTATTATGTGATCTTGGAGAATGACCCATGTGCAGCTGAAAAGAATATATATTCTGATTTTGTGGGGTGGAACACTCTATAGACGTCTAATAAGTCCCTACGTTCAAAAGCTTGGTTCAGTTCTAGTATTTCATTGTTGATTGTTTGCCTAGATGATCTGTCTATTTGTGATAGTGGGGTATTCAGATCCCCCACTACAATTGTATTAGTGGTTATGTGGTTTTTCATGTTACTTAATATTTGCTTTATATAGTTGGGGGCATTTATATTTGGTGCATGTATGTTTATGATTGTCATTTCTTCCTCTTGGATTGTTCCCTTTACAAGGATGTAGTGGCCTTCTTTGTCTCTCTTAATCAGTTTTGGTTTGAAGTTTGCTTTGTCTGCGAATAAGACTGCTACCCCTGCCTTTTTCTGGGCTCCTGTTGCCTATAGAATTGTTTTCCATCCTTTCACTTTCAGTCTATGGGCTTTTTTGTACTAGGTGTGTTTCTTGTATACAACATGGATTTTGCTTCTTAATCCATTCTGCCAATCTATTTCTCTTGATTGGTTAATTGAGGCCACTGACATTGCCAGTTATAACTGATATGTACTGACTTATTATTGTCATGTTATTGTCCTTTTATTGACTCTTTTTTTATTTTTTTGTTATCTCCTTTTAGTTTCTTGCCTTGACTATTTGATTTGCTCTGTTGGGCCTCCTGGTGTTGTGATCTTCATTGTCTTTTTCTAGGATATTGTTTAAAATTCTTTGTAGTGCTGGTTTAGTATTCATGAAGTTTCTCAAGTGTTTTTTGTCATGGAAATATCTTATTTCTCCATCCATTTTGAAAGAGTTTTGCAGGATACATCAGTCTAGGCTGTAGGTTTTCTTTTAGGACTTGAAATACCTCACTCCAGGCTCTCCTTGACCTGAGGGTTTGTGTTGAAAAGTCTGCTGTGATTCTGATAGGCTTTCCTTCGCATGTGATTTGTTTCTTTTCTCTTTCTGCTTGTAGTATTTTGTTCTTCTGTTGGGTTTCAGGGAACTTGATTATTATATGTCTAGGTATGGTCAGAAATCTCTTAATGGGGTCTGAGATGTGAATACTTTATTTTTTAATTTTTAAATTTTTTCAGATGTGAATACTTTTGACAAACCCTCAAGGGACAACCTGAGGTTGTATTCTTCTTATGCTAAGCTTTAGTGCTCTAAGGTGTTCTTTCTTAAGCTTCCACCCACTGGCCTTGTTTTGTGGACACGGGTCTAGCTATGGCATTCAGACCAGGAAGCCACAGGTATGGAATAAAGGCATCACCATTCTGCCACCTGGTGGCAGTATCTGCTAATTGCAGGCTAGTAATTTAAAGTCATGGACAACCCAAAGCACAAAGATTCTCACCTAAGGCTAAAAATTAAAACCCATGGGGAATCTTAGAATTTCCCATTATATGCTGGGTGTGGTGATGCAGGAGGCTGAGGAAGGAGGATCACTGCGAGTCTGAGACCAGCCTGGGCTACACAGTGAGTTCAAGGCCAGGCTAAACTACATAGTGAAACTCTGTCTCAAAACAGTAAAATAAAATAATTAAATTAAATTAAATTCCCAGTGTAGGATCTAGTCATCAACTGAAAACACTGCTCTAGAAGACTGACTTTATTTAACATCATCTATAAAGTAACCATAAACATGAAATCTCACCTGAGTAAACCATAGAGTTAAAATGTAAAGAACTGTTCAGACCAACAAAGTACCTTTCTGTGTCCTGCAGTTAAACAGTCCTGGAGTAAGAATACTTTAATTAACATCTTGGTGACCTAAGTGTCATTGTGCTGACTACACCAAAGAGCACAGGCACAGGGAGAAGCTAATTAAACCATGAAGAGCCCCAAGCCAAGGTGCAGAGGGATGAACACACATGGGTGTCTAATTGATGCTCTGGGTTCAGCTGAGCCTCCATGAATTGGGAATACGACTCCCTTTGGACATAGAGAAGAATACAGTTAACTTCGAGTAGTGACACAAATACCTTATCTCGGCCCCAGAATCTTGACCGAGGCTCTGAGTACTGAAGGATGTCAAAGGCAGTCTCTTTGATAATAATTGGATTCAAAATCCTGAAGTGTTTTGGTGGTAGTGGGATTTTTTCTGCCACCTGTTTCCAAAAGAAGAGTCGGATCCAAAATGGCTAAGGAAAGAAAGCAAATAATCATTAGGGAGCATTATAAAGTTCTCCGGTCAGCAGAGGATTAGAAAGCATTCCCTGATAACTAGATCAAGGTCACGGGCACAACCCCACATAACCCTGTGCCTAGTATTTTCCAGCACAGTCATTAAGATCTGTGGAAATCTAGCACCTCAGTTTAAAAAGTAACTCTGAAAGATGCAATTTACAGAGGTGGCATTGGACAAGGAAAGAAATTATAGAACCAGTTCTTGTTTGTTTGTGGAAGAAATTTTTCAGGAAGACTTTTTTAGGATTACAGCTATCATTTTGCCCAAAGAATGGGTCCAACTGAAAGGTGTTAAATGCTGTGAGTGCCCTGCCAGATGGGCCTCACCTTGCACCCTCTCTCCATTGACTTTATTTCCTAATCCTATAAGGTTGCTAGGCAACTGATTATAAATCACTCTCTCTGTGCTTCATTTTCCCACTAGAACATCTACCCAGTGAAAACCCAGAAGATCACAACCTGTACAGAGTCAAGCTTTGGAGATGTAAACTCTCTATCACACAGAGATTATGTGAAAAGTCTAGTATGTCCTGGGAGTTAAAAAATGCACATACACTCCTCCACAGCTGGGTGCTGAAATTTATTTCAATACAGTGGGTGGAACTATACAGTAATGTAATTGATTACTGTAGACTAACAGAAGGAAGATGACCAAATGAGGGCTACAGCTTCCACATCTGCCCCCCTGGAATGCTATGAATCTACTCCAACAGAAGGACCACTGACTAAAGGATTTTGGAGAAGGTCTTTGGGGTTTTATATATATTTTAAAGATAATGGCTTACATTTATCCAAGTAAATCTCATTTCTGGAACTAATCAAAAGCCATGCAAATCCAAGTCTGGAGGATAAGGTGATGACCAACCTCAATAATAGAAGTTGATATTCCCACTGAGTAATGATCACCATTTTTACATGTGGCTCTAAGGTTCTGAAACCAATTCGCAGCAAGGAGTTCTGAGGGATTTCTAAAATGAGGGTAGTTATTGGAAAAACAACATAAAAGCATGTATTCCATTGTATATGCTTTAAAAACAAAAGCCTGTGAACATAATTAAAGATCATTTTTTAACAAGGGACACTTGATGGATGAATTTTTAGTGCTTACCAAGGTTTCATTTTTTATCATTGCTTGAAGCCATTTGAAATCAACACTCTTAAATAGAACAGTGACAAACAAGTCGTTGGCATAATATTCAGCATCAGACAGTGGTGCACCCTCTGGGTAGGTCATCCTTATGGTAGTTTTATTTCCAACATGCTCGGAATAGCCCTCGACTGGTGCACTATTTAACCTATTTAAATAAACAGGAAAAGGACACAATGACACAGGAAGCTATCCACCCTCTTTCCGTACCACACAATATTCCATGTCATGTTCTCCCATTCTTTAGGACCAGGAACTGGGATACGACTGGGGTAGCTGACCTTTCCATCAGCCTCCTCACCTAGCCCTGTCCTTTCCAGTATTTGATGAATGCACCCTTCCGTCCACACAGAGTGCTCAGACCTAACTGCTGAATGCCAAACAATTCCAACTTGCCCTGACATTTTAAGTCGATCCAAACACATTACATCTTGGAGTGCCAGTGAAGTTTCCTTGAAAACTTCTCACTGTGCTCATATAATGAGTAGTTCTTGTTAGAGTTTCAAAAAGGCAAACAGAAAAGAAAACCCTGAGACCAGAGCCAGGTGGATATAAACCATAGCTCTATGGGGCAGGGGCCAAGGTGAGGGCTGGGCCTTGGGTGTGCAACTTGGTTTTAAGGAAAAGACCTGGAGCACTGCAGTGAAGCCTTCACCAGTGTGGTAGTTAAGGAAATCTTAAGAATTCTTTCAAAAGCAGTACCACTCACCTAGTTACACTCTTTTTTAAAAAAAAAACCCGATTCTTCCTGTTACCACACTTGTGTGTGACCTTTCTTTTCTATCTACCTGGCCTGGATGCTGGCCCTTCACCTTTGTCTACAACACTGGCTAACGTGAGTGTCACTCACTGGGTAATTCTGAGGGACCAGAAAGCACTTCAGGCTCCAGCATACCAGCAGCACCCTGTGAAAGGCAGCTGCCATAGGCCGTCACCTGACCTCCTGACCCTGCACTCCGCTCTTGCTCTGTGGCATGTGCACCTAGTCGCCTTCAAACTCAGTTCCTCCCCATTTCTACTCCTTCCAAACACCTGGCTCTTTCCTAAAAATACTTTGCACCCCCCACCCCGCTCTGCTGACTCCTCAGCTTCCTGCACATTCTTCAGGAATAGCTGCAGGCATTTACTGAGCCTCCCCTGGAAGGGGTGAGCTGCTCCTGCTTATTTGACAGATGAGACACAGGACAGTTAGGAAATCTCCCAGATCACAAAGGTAATATGTGAATGGATCATCACATTTATATCAAAATGTTCAGAATGGGTCTCATCCTCTTCCTCCTGTAACCAGAGCCATTTCTCTATCCATCCCCCCCGCTTTTTGGTACCAGGGATCGAACTCAGGACCCTGTGCTTGTGAGGCATGCGGTGGACCAGTGTACCTCTCAGATTCAATCATCAGCCCCTACTCCCACTTTCTGCCTGTTCCAATTCCAACACCCTCTACACCCAGGCCTCCGAGCGGACTCTCCCATCATCAATCCAGCCACATACTCCTGCTGGATCAACAGGTTAGGACCCAACTCTCATCCCTAAGATGGAGAAGAGTAGTCTACTACAGTGTATCCATAGCCTGAAAAAAGCCACCCATTTTCAAGCCAGAGAGTGTACTCTAAAGAACTTCTCCAGGGAAATAATCAGAGATATACATATGGGTAAGAATATGCAAAGCATTTTCACAACAGCAAAGAAAAGTGGAAGCATTCAAAATGTCTTGCTGCAGAATCACTAAATAACTTTAATACTTTTATGTGAACAAATACTAAAAATGTTTAATGACCTCAGAAACTATTCATAAAGCTAAGTTCAAAAAATACCTTCTAAAAACACAAATGCAACCAGAAGTACTTGTACAGAATAAAAGTGGAAAACCAGATTAGCAGCCGTTGTGGTTATTTGCGCTCAATGATTTTTATTTGCTCCCTTATATTTTTCTAGCCTTTAATAATGAATATATTTATTTTACTTTTATAACTGGAAAACCTTTTTTTTTTTGGTAGTGCTGGGATGGAATGCAAGGCCTCACACATGCCAGGCTAATATTCTACCACAAAGCTACACTCGCAGTCTGAAATACAAGGTTTAAACATCTAAATAAAAAACAATCTGGAGACTGTCTACTGCCCGTCACGGTGAGTCCCAGCTCCCTGTGGGATTTAGGGAAATTTAGGCAGAATATAGAGAATCTGATTACTTCGTGGTTTTTTTTTTTTTAAACTTCTTAAATAGTCTCTTGAGGGCAGGGGCCCCAAGCACTTCTGGGGCCCCTTCCTGCCTTGGAGCTGCACCGACCCAGAGCACCAGGCTGGATTCTGGAGGAGAAAGCAGGTTGGAAAGCAAGGTACCTTATAACAATGTCAAACTGGTTCAGGGCGTGGCCCAGCTCTAGGCCATACAGAACTCCCCCGCTCCCGATCACCACGCAGCGCCGACAGGGCTTGGCTTTCAAGTGTTCAGGGAAGTCGTGCTCTGGCAGTATTTCCAGGAGAGACTGGACTTTATTGGAGAAAGTGTAGAATCCAAAGGGAGGATCATACTTGTACTTGGCCTCATTGGCTCCAGGGATCTTCTGCACGAAGGGCGCCAAGTCTAGGCTATATCTGTGCTCAAACAGCTGCGCCATCGCTGTCTTCACAAATCTAGGCTGACATTCCTTCTGCAGGACTTGCTGAGCACATCTCTGAGCTCTCTGGAATGGAATCACACCGATATGACTTTAAAAATCTCTTCAGCATTTTGTAGATGACATTCTGTCCTATGATGTCTGATGTAGCTACAGTGCTGACCACCGTCTTCAACACAGAACACTAGCCTTTTAGAGTTAGTTTATGTTCAAGGCTATGAAGAAACAGAGCAACCTGGGAGAATCACAGGACAGGGAGATAAACTCCACAAGGTTTCTTATTTCACTGCATAAGCAAAGCAGCCAAGACTCTCACCTCCTACTTCTGGACTAACATTGTACAAAGAAATCTGTGGTGAAAAAATACTCTGAAGTGTTTTAATCTCATGTTTCATAAATTTCTAACCCAAACTACCTGATGTTCAAACACATTATGCCAAGTGAGATAAATCAATCACAAAAAGACAAGCAGTGTATGAGTTCACTTATATGAGGTCCCTAAAGTGCTTCAAATTCATAAAAACACAAACTAGAATGGTGGTTACCAGGAACTAAGGGTGAGGGAGTTGTTTCATGGGTATAGAGATTTGGTTTTGCAAGATTAAAAAGTGCCAGAGATTTGTTTCACAACATGGGAATATATGTAACACTGCTGACCAGGACATATTGGCATGATTAAAATGGTAAATTTTATATCATATTTATTTTTTTACTAAAATTTTCAACTATGAAGGGCTTCATTTCTCAGGTTCATACCTAGCAGGTAAGGAAATGGGCTAATTTACTAGTTGGGCTAAGGAGCTTCACACAGTCTGAAAGGCAAATTACTGTCAATCCTATGAGGGAGTAATGCCCCACTACCACAGACACTGCCTGCTTTCAAACATGTGTTCCCAGAAGAGCAGTGGTTTGTATCAGCAAGGCTAACTGCTGAACACCAGCCTGAGTGCAAAGAGCTCAGAAGAAGAGGCTACAAATGATCATCTGCCCAACTCTCTCTGGCTCCAGCTGGCAGATGTGGCCTCACAGCTGTTTGGCAGGTGCTGCTCCTGAGCTCCACACTTCCTGTCCTTGTTTCCATGTCTAGCAACTTTGGTCCTGCCTCATGCACATCTCCTCCCATCAGGCGACCTTATATGCATGTGCTCATGTACTGTACGCATATATGGTGTGAAGTCGTATTTGTCTCAGGTACTTCTTTTTAGGGATTTATCAGGTGTTTTGTACTCCATCAGTATCACATAAGGACTCTACAGAGTTTCAAATGTTTGCATCATGTCTTTTCTCCTAACTCTGTTTTCATTTTTTATTTATTTTTCCTGTACTAAGGGTTGAACCCAGGGCCTTTGCACTGAACCACATCAATCTTTTTTTTTTTTAACTTTTATTTTTGAGACAGGGGTTTCACTAAGTCACTAAGTTGCCCAGGCCTCCCAGTGCTGGGATTACAGACATGTGCCACCATGGCCAGCCAGTCTTATTATTTTTAGTGTCTGATTTTTTTCAGGAACACATCTACCCTACTTAAAAAAAACATAGCTTCGGAAAAATATTAGTGCCTGCAAAGAGCACACTGTCTGCATCTTGATGCTCGGGCCCCAATTCCGCAAGGAGAACCCGCATTCTCCCAGATTCAGAGATTCGCTTCAGACTGTGTAAATTCACTGTCTCAGCTCCCTGCTGATCCCTGTGGCACCTCACAGATGGTCACTGGCATCTTCACTCTGTGGGCTCCAGGTGGCATCACAGAGGAGACCTGGGCTGACATTCACCAACCTGGTGATTGCCTCTCCAGGGCCTGAAACAACAGTCTTTTTCCACAGGAGCTGCTACTGAGCGCAGTTTGTGTGTAGACTGGCGTCATGGTGAGGAGTCAGTCAGAGGCCCAAGTAAGGACACCATCACGATCCCCACCCGGTGGAAAGCTAGCCCAACCCAGCTGGCCAAGAGGCAATGCGCAGCGTGGGTGGGTGCTTAATGGACAGAGGCAGGGCAAGTGGAAAGGGCAACTAGCGTCCAGGCCTGAAGGCCAGGGACAACAATTTTTAGAGACCAAAAGGCTTAATTCTTTCCTCTAGAATGGCATCCCAAGTTCCTGGTTCTACAGTTCTCCTCGGATAGAAAGGAACAGGTGATAAGTACCAGATGAGACTCAGAGAAGCATCCTCATTGACTACAGGACAGCCAGATCTTCCCTTTAGAAGCTGCATTTGGAAAGGAGTGAAATTTCATTCCATTTCCATCCTGGCAAAGAGCTGGATTTCAGGCTTCAAATTTAATTTTCTAGACTGTGAGCAGGGCACAAGACTCCATAGTCATGCTCCGGCTATAACCCCTCCTGTGTGATTCACAGCTGGGGCCAGTAATGACTCCTGAGTGAATAGAGCTCTAGATGCCACTGGAAACGTCTAAGTCTTTCTCCTTGTGTTTCAGCTTGCTTCAAGATGTGTGACAAGCTGTGAGAAAGTCCCCAGACAATTTCTTCTAACTGAAATCTTCCTTAGCCATCCTGCTCTTTTCACTGCTTGCCTGGGAGGCAAAGCTCAGAGGAAAAGGCCTAGAGAGGAGGCCTCACCTTATGGAGCTGACAGGAAGCAGTATAACACCCTCCTCTCTGCCCACATGGCTCCCACACTGGGAGCTAAAGCAGCTGAGCGGGGACTGACTGGGACTGAGCAACCCAGGTGCCCTGGGATTCAGGAACTGGTGATGCTCTTTTAAGATACAAGACACTTGTTTCAAATCTAGGAGGTTTCAGTTCTTAAAAGTCTTTCAGGCTAAGCTTGCAGGCTGCCCACAATTAAGGAATAACTAGATGTCTGGCAGTTCCAACTGTCAATGGTATGGCGATGTGCCATGGAAAATCACAATGTGAAAATTCACTGAAGGAATTAAAAAAAGCCAAAGTCATTTTCCTCAGTAAAATCTCCACTTTTGGGCTGGGGGTTTAGCTCAGTGGTGCTGCCGCCTGCCTTGCAATTGCAAGTGCAAGGTCCCAAGTTTGATCCCCAGTACAAAAAAAAAAAAAAAAAAAAAAAAAAAAAAAAATCTCCACTTTCATTTCTACTCTATAATTTTAAGAATCATCCTTCTAAAAAAAAAATGTAACAGGCGAATGGCATAATTCTTTGTAGTAAGAGACAATGTTTTATTATATGTATCTATTTTTAAATTTGGGACATGGGATAGGAAGGTAGATCAGTGGTAGAGCACTGCCTGGCATACATGAGGCCCTAGGTTCAATCCCTGGCACTGCAAAATAAATAAATGAAAATGTAACAAATTCAGAAGAGGGCAGAGCATTTAGATGCAAGGAAACTTTGGGTCCGGAGTTAACCAAATATGGGAAGGAGCCCAGCTCTGCAATAGTGCATGTGACCTGGAGGCTTTGGCTACCTTATAAAGTTTTATTTTCACTCCCACTTCTGTAAATGTGGATACTGCTCTCTTCCTCTTGGGTTTGTTCTGATGCCCAAAGCATTTTGCCCAGTGCCTGGCACAGGTGAAGGTTAAGATCTTCACAGAATTAGTTCACATTTAAGTCACCTATCACTTTAACTCAGATAAAAGCAGGCACAAATTAAATAACAAAGCCACAGAAAGACTTTTATAGTAAAAACTCAGGAGTCAGAATCAGTGGTTGCCTGGGGCCGGGGTCAAGTTGAGGCCTAACCAAAAAGGAGCTCAAGGGAACTAACTTGGGTGACTGAAACATCCCCAAGCTGTGCTGACCCTCTAAGGTGACTAACACTCACCAAAGCTCTTGCTTCAGAAGAGTAAATCCTATGGCGGCACAGATGCTATCAACACTAACTGTTAAGAAAATGCCATCAGAGGTAAAATGATAACAGAGGCTGGACAGTTCTAGATCTCTTTAACTAGCCTCATCATCTTGGGAAAAGCACTGGACCCCGGGCAAGGATCACCTCCACCTCTTACCTCCAGGACATTCTAGAGTGGTCTGGGGAAAAGGGCAAGTGACACCAAGAACAGAAAAGCCTGGGTGTGGGTGCTGAAGCCCCTTACTGACTGGCTCTGCCAGATGCACCTCACTTGCTGCCTATTCTACTGAGCTTATACTGAACCCCATCTGTCAGCTGTCCAGGACATGAGGACCAAACCTGCCCTTCCTCCACCCGGGGAAAGTGAGAGATGGTTTCAATTCCTGTATCAATCAATGGTGCACAACCAGACATCCAAATTAAAGGGCCTTTTGGTGTGCATTTTAAAGCCTTCCTTCCACAACATAGCATGGTTGCACTTCAGGCTCATACCCTGCTGTGTCCGTGTTCTAAATAGTGACAGGCAACTCTTTTTCTTTTTTTTTTTCCTTTAAAAAAATTTTTTTTGTGTGGTGCTGGGGATAGGACCCAGGGAGTGCTCAACTATATTCCTAGACCTTTTTGTCTGATTCTGAGACAAGGTCTTGCTAAGTTCCCCAGGCTAAGCTCTAACTTGCAATCTTCCTGACTCAGCTTTCAGAGCAGCTAAGGTTACAGGAGTGCACCACTGTGTCCGACAATGCCACATCTATCATCTTGTGTACATTGAGGCCTGCCCTTTTGCACACATCAGAAGGAAGTGAAACATGCTGTCAAGACCTTCTGAAGAGTGGGGCATTTTGATAGGGTCAAAAATGTCCAAAAGCAGTTGGGCATGGTAACTCATGCCTGTAATACCAGCACTCAGGGAGGTCAAGGAGGGGGCTTGAAAGTTTTAAGTTCCACCTTGCCAACTTAGTGAGACACAGTCTTAAAATAAAAAAAAAATAATAAAAATAAAAAGAACTGGAGATGTAGTTCTGTGGTAAAGCAAGCCTGGGTTCAATCCTGCAGAACTAGGGGAAAAGAGTTAAAAAGCCACTTAAACAATGTCTCAAGTAACAGAATAAAAGACACCTCTGGTGCCACTATGGTTATGGAGGCTTTCACACATTAGACTTATATATGCCATGTATTGGACATATTCTTTCCTCCTTCCCCACAAAAAATTTCAGGAGACATTTTCCTTTATTCCTTAGGTACTACTTGAATCTTTAGTGCTGTTTTTTAATTGGAGGAAGTAAACATTTTAGAAATCCTTCAGGCAAGGATGGGTTGGTTTATGTTGTGGACCAGGGTTTTAGGGCTGCTCAGCTTGGTTCAGGTACTGTCTCCCTTTTCCATGCTAGAAATGGGACCTGAGAGGCTGACCCCACCCCCTGGACATTCCCATCCCTCTGGACAGGAGTCCTCACTGAAGTCAATCAAGATGGGACACTGGCTAGAACCAAGACCTGTCATGTAGAGGTACAAGATCCCAATGATGAATGTAACTGTACTGTATACCTAAAATGTACCAATAAACTCAATTTAAAAAGAAAGATAGGACACTGGCACCTGTGAAGGGTTGTTATTGGTCCAGTTGTGAACCTGTGTGAATGGGCCCCATCAGTCTAAAATGAAAAGAATTACATTCCACACTTTGGAAAGAGGGGGAAGGGAAAAGTTTACTTTAGTTGTTTTAGAGTTGAACAGAAGTATCAGACCTATATCTCGAAAGAATACATATATTACTGAATGTACTCAAAATGTTTACTGTTAACTGTGGATTTTATGTACATTCAGTTCAAAGATAATGAGAGGTTACACTGTGGTTAAGGTGATACCTTCCCTCCTCTCTGGAGTTTAATATACAGAATACACACTAACTAATATAAAACTTTAGCATATAACCCCTCTCTCCCAAGACCCTGCCAGGAAGATGGGTAGAGAAGAAAAACAGTTAAAATATGACAAAAATTAGAATTAAGGTTTTAATATATGTGTTGTTTTGTTTTGTTTTTTGGTACCAGGGATCAAACTCAGGACCTTGCATTTGAGAGGCAGGCGGCAGAACCACTGAGCTAAATCCCTGGTCCTAGAATTAAGATTTTAAGAGGTTTCTAGAATCCAGACGGGGATGATCAGGGAAGGCATCTTAGAAGAGGTAAATCCTGAGCTGGATTACCTGGGTAACAGATGCAATGGACAGGGGAGGGTTTTAGGCAGAGGAGAAAAAAAACACCAATACAAGGAGTCTTTTTTAACAAAAAGTGCTGGGACAGACAACTGGAGAACCACACACAAAGAGATAAAGCTGAATCCCAACCTCACACCATAGATAAAAATTAACACAAAATGGATCAAAGATACAAATGTACAAGCTGAAACTGTAAAAATCTTAGAAGAAAATAGAAGATTAGACTATGATGTCTTAGATATAATATTAAAAGTACAAGTGACAAAAGAAAAAATAGATAAGTTGGATTTCATCAAAATTATACTTTTGTGGACTGGGCATTTAGCTTAGTGGTGCTGCTGCCTGCCTAGAAAGGGCAAGGTCCTGAGTTTGATCCCTAGTACAAAAAAAAATTATAATCTTGTGCTGAAAATTATACCATTAAGAAAGTACAAAAAACGGCCAGGGATTTAGTTCAGTGGTTCCACTGCTGCCTCGCAAGCGCAAGGACTGGAGTCTGATCCCCAGTAAAAAAAAAAAAAAAAAAAAAAATTAAGAGAATAGGTAAAATTATTTGCAAATCACATTCCTGATACAAGGGACTAGTACCCCAGTACACATAAAGGATGTTTACAAGTCAGTAATAAAAAGAGAAATAATTCAAGTGAAAATGGGCAAAGGATTTGGCTGCTACTGAAATACACATCTGTGTCATTAAAGCCACCTGGGCAGGTCCCATCCTTCCACAAACCAGGTGTCCAGATTATTAACATTACTTTTCTGAGACAGAATCTTGTTATATAGTTCAATCTGGGCTCAAACTCTCTATGTAGCCCAGGCTGGCCTCAAACTAGTGGCAACCCTCCTGCCTCAGCCTTCAAAGTGCTGGAATTACAGGTGTGCACCACCATGCTCAGCTAGCTCGTCACCATGTACCATGGACCAGCTCTTCTCTCCTTCAGGATGCAGAAATATTCCCACCCACCCTTTCAGTGGTTGTTCAGGGATGTGGTCTTGAGTCTCTTCTTGGGTCTTTCTCAGCTGTCACTATGATTCTTTCAGAGAACCTTCAAGAGTAATGGCCATCATAACCAGAGCTCTTGTCTGACCACTGCAGGGACAAGCAGACCATCCCTGGTCTGTTAAGGTAGCTTAGAGAAAAATTTGATGCAGGCAGCCAGGTCTCTAAAACTGCCATGTGGATTTTATCTAGGAAGGGCATTGTGAAAATACATTTCTATCCTGTACTTGTGAAATGGGGTCCTCAGTCCTTGCACTACAGAGCCCTACCTCTTTTACCAGTTAGCACAGACTCTAGAAAAGTTATTTTGAATTGATCAGATGGTGAGTGTCATGCTCAGTCATGAAGTGGAAGAGTGCAGCAAAGACACAAATGGAAGAATTCACAGCATATCTGTAAGTCAGACCAAATGTCATTATTTTAGGTCTTTCCCAAGGGACAAAAGCAAAAAACAGAAACAAGATGACTAAAACCATGATCCAGGAAAGTGGTGAAGAGCCTTGGAATTGAAAGGGTTTGGATGATGCAAGTCCAGACAAACTGGAGGAAGAGGGACACCCAAGCAGAAGACACTAGATGCAGCCTGCTCCACCAAAGCAGATGTGACAATGTTGAGAAATGAAAGGAGGCAGCAAACATCTGTGGACAGAAGTACAACAGGGAGAAGCCTCTGCCATCAGCAAGACTCCCACGCATTTATCAACTAAGCTCTTCACCAACATGTCTCTGCCTCTCTGTATCACAAAAAGGCTGAGGCATTTAAAACAGAAAAAGAAACTGGAACGAGAAAAGGAGCTCTGTGCATATTATCCAGCTTTTAGGGATACACAGCTATTGTTGTCTACATCTCACAGTAGAGAGAACTGAGACTCCACGCAATTCGGTCACTGTGGGTGGTTCCATGGGTGAACATTTAAGCTCACTCCTCTCTGAGGCATGCTACCTTCTGGCTTCTCCAAGAAGATGGATCAGAAGCTCAGCTTCTGAAGCCACACCACGGACCCTGCTCTGGCCCTGACCCAACATAATTTTGGCCCAGGGTTCGTCCCCACGCCCTCTGCTGCCCTCACTATGAGGTAGAGATGATTGCACACCTCTAACTCCAGGATGACCAAGAGAGTTCATTGACTTCATATCACTAATTTACCTCTAAGACAGTTCCTGGCACACAGCAAGCACTAGTAGGTGAACTAAAATAGATAAACTGGGTGTGGACTTGAGCAAGCAGCCCACCTTTCCAGGCCATAGTCTGTATGACAGAGATGACACTGGGATGTCTTCAGTCACAATGATTAAGAGAGGGCATGTATGTACAGCATTTACACGTGGCAGTGGTCATTCCTAACATGCTACCTTATTTAAAGCCACCTCTTCCTTCATCCTGAGCTGAACATTGTTGAATGATGAGTCATCAGTGAAATTTGCATTTAACATGTTAAATCAATGGTGAAAAATGAATGTCAATTGAAAGAAAAATCTTGAAAATACAATGTGAAACCATTAAAACTAAAAATACAACCCAGGAATGATCTAACAATATGACAAGCAGCATCAGGGCAAATGAACTCCATGTGCATGCCGAGTAGAAATGGTGTCACCCCACGCTACAGTGATGTAAATGGGCGGATAATACAGCAGAGGAGATGAGTCGGTTGGTTGCATTTTGGGGAAAAGGATGTCTTTGGTTTGGGAGTGCTAAGGTTCAGTATGGTATTTTCTCTTCTGTTTCAAACTTTCATTAATGTTTCTTTGTAACACATTAGAGATGATATTACAGCTTAAGTGTATGCTTGGAAATGTTTTAATTTAAACCACATCAATGGAATATCTAACCTTTATGCGGTCAGGGTCCACATAATGCTTTTTTTTCATGTCACATTCTTCAGAGGTGTAATTTAACTTGAGGATATAAAGGATCCACACTCCAAACACAAGCAACATACATCTGGAAAAAACATCAATCAGGTATAATAAGGCAGTCATGTGATAACAGAAAAAAAATGTGAAATAAGTGGAAAACAAATCCAAACAGAGCTTGCCTGCCACGTGGCATTAAGGTTACCTATCTCAAGGCTAAAAAAAAAAGGTGCCATTTCCTGGCAAGATGAATTGCTAATTTATGACTACAAGGAAATACAGGATAAACTTTTAATTTGCAAGGATATCATAATAAAATCTAAATCACAATGCAGATTACTGGGCTGAAAATAGCAAGTAATAGATTTGAACTATAGAAACTCAGGTTTAATTTTTTTTTTTTTTGCTTCTTTAAAATACTACCAGTCCTTATTAAAAAAAAAGTAAAGAACACAAAAGAAACAATGTACTTGTAGTACTTCTAAAGAATTCTATCTAGGAATGAGACTGACTGAAGTGAGATAATACTAGTTATCCTGAAGACCACCTAAAAAACCTCTTTTTAAAGATCTGATCATTTACACTTACATCATGTGTACATATATGTGTGTACATATGCAGACACAGATTTGAAGAAAATAACACAGGCTAGTGATGGTTCTAGAAATCTCATTTTTATTAAGCTTCCCAGTAATACAAACTAAAGGTTAAAAAAAAGTTTAAACCACAGTTCAATAACTACTGTTTTAAATATTCTGTGTTCCTGGAAAACAAAAAGGCAAGGAATAATTATAAGAGGAATATATTTTCTAAAGAAAGGGGAAGATTTAAAAATAAAGCAGCTAGCATAACATAATTCCCATAACTCACACTAAATACTGAATATTTGAGGAGGAGGATGTAAGGGAGAGTGGGTGGGAGTATTTTAAAGACTTCTGGTTGGGTATGGTGGGGCACACCTGTGATCCCAGCACTCAGGAAGCTAAGGCAAGAGGATTGCTGGGAATCTGAGGCCAGCCTGAGTCACAAAGTGAGTTCAAGGCCAGGTTGGACTACATAGCAAGAGCCTCTCTTATCCCCAACTCTCCTATAAAAAGACATCTGAATTCTCATTTCAATAGGTTCCCTCACACCTTAAATGTTCTCTGGTTTGAGTATACCACGCTATTAAGTGAACAGAATGCTATCATTTATATATAAAAATGGGTTGGCTGAGTGGGGAGAAGGCATATGCACACACATATACGAAATATTTCTTATATACACAAGAAACTGGTAACACTGGTCATCTTTAAGAGTGGATAGAACATCTGGGCATGGTTGTACATACCTGTAATCCCAGGACTCAAAAGACAGAAGCAGGAAGACTGCTTCTGAGACCAGCCTGGGCTACATAGTGAGTTAAAGGCCAGCCTGACCTACAAAGTGAGATCTTATCTCAAAACACAAACAAAAATAGAATAAGTAAAAAAGAGTGGAAGGGATATCTGGGTGTGTTGGCACACACCTGTAATTCAAGCACTCTGGGAGGCTGAGGCAGGAGGATTACAAGTTCAAGTCCAGCCTGAGCAAATTAGCAAGACTCTGTCTCAAATAAAAAATTTTAAAAAGGCTTAGATGTAACTCAGTGCAAAGGCCCTGGGTTCAATCCCCAGTGGCACCTTCCTCTCCTGAAAAGTGGAATGGGAAGTAAGGAAAAGGTGTTTTACTAAGTCCTTTAAATATTTTTACAATCTTGAATCTTGAAGACTCAGTAGTACCTATTCATTTCTCCAGCTCCCGTTTTATATTTAGTGCATGTAATACTTCCATTATTTTGATTCTTTAAGGAAAGTTAAAGAAAAGCGTGTTAAAAGCGAGCCAGTGTCCACAGGACGTGTCCCACAACTTGTGTGTCCTACTGAGAGTCTCTGTGCCCACATCACAAGCGGAGGAGGCCCAGGTCTATCTTATATATCCATGTGCCTGGCAATCAACACAGCAGACTGCAGGCTTCCAAGAATACTGGCCAGTTACTAAAAGGAGGTCTTTAACATGCATTTCTTTTTCTCATTTTTCCTAAATAAGTAAAGTGAAGTCAGAGACTAGATGTCAAGGTTGGATTTCTCTTTTCCTCCTAAAGATTTGCTATCTTAAGACATCTTTAGAATTTTCAATTTAGCTTGGCTGGTAGAAAAAAAAAAGCCAGACAAGTACCTCTACTCACTCTACAACGTATTAGGATATGAGGGTGGTCTGGCTGAAACATCCATCATCCTTCTCGGTGTTTACTATTTAATGGTATCCAAGTGTCCTAAGCGACTTTTATCATGTTTACAGATTAGCTTAAAATAGCTAAGGGAGAAAGCCCTCCTTTGCTAAATAGAGGCACAAAAATTACGAAGATGTAAGTTGCTCTCCTGGGCATCCTGGCTCAGGTACAGAGACCGGGCATGTACATCTGTTTATCCCTGATCCTTTGACCAAGTATACTTCTCTAGCACCTGCCATCTGCAGGGCTCTCAGTGAATTTTTTTCTTGGGATTCTATACCACTGACCTAACCAGGGTAGGTACGTACTTGAGGATGTCTTTTAACAGCAAGTTGGGTCTTCTCATCTTGTTCTGAACACAGGTGTACCATTGCAGGGAAAGCCTTGAGCAACTGATTCTCAGTTTCACAGAGTTGTAATCATTTAGCATTGCTGTGAAGAGAGGGGAAGAGGGCAGCAAGGGAAGAAAGAGGAAAGTCTTAAGTGATTATGCTTTTAAGAGAGACTTTAATGTGATACATGGGCTACTACTTGGCAATGAAATTTCTTTTTTGCTTTCTGTGATACTGGAGCTGTAACCCAGAGTCTGGTGCTGCTAGGCAAGCACTCTACCACTCAGCCACATCACCAGCTAAGGAATGGACTCCTGATATATATATAGATATAGATATAGATATCTTGGATGAAACTAGAAGGAATTATGCTGAGCTGATACTAAAAGCTTACATATTACATGATTCCTAACATTCTTGACATGACAAAATTATAGAAATGGAGGGCTGGGGATTTAGCTTAGTCATTCCAGCTCCTGCCTCACAAGCACAAGGGCCCGAGTTTGATCCCAGGTACAAAAAAAAAAAAGAACAGACTATTAGTGACAGGGGTTAGACAGGAAGGAGGGAGGAAGGTGTGGCCATGGAAGGACAGCATGAGAGATCCTGTAGTGATGGAAATGTTTTCTGTAGCGTGGCTGCATCCATGGCAACATTTCAGTTGTGATACAGCCCTAGAGTTTTTGCAAGAGGCTACCCTTCCAGAAAACTGAGTAAGGGGTACAGAAGACTTCTCTGAATTATTTCTTACAATTGCATGTGACTCTATTTAATTTTTTGAAAGAACCTTTACATTATAGAGATATATTCAGAAATATGTACAGATGAAAAATTTGCTTCAAAACAACCAGGAAGGGAAAAGTGAAGTCCAGGAGAAAGACAAGCTTTCAACTGGCAACTTGAATCTGGGAGACAGGCATATGGGGTCTACTCAATGATTTGATCCACTTTTGAGTATATTTGAAATTTTCCATAATAAAAAAAGGTTTAGAAAGAGTTATATTAAAAACAGCTGGGCATGGTGGTACATGTCTGTAATCCCAGCCCTCTGGAGGCTGAGACAGGAGGATTGCCATGAGTTTGAGGCTAGCCTGAACTCCATAATGAGACCCTGTCCCCCTAAAAAAAAATCAAGAAAAAAAGAAATTTGCTTAAAAATCATATATTCACAGGTATACTTACATACTTTTTAAATTAAAAAAAATTTTTTTTGCAGGTAAAGTCTCCCAAATGCTATGCCAGCCTTTGCACTGGGCTGCATCCCTGACTCCTACTTACATGTTTGAATTAGTTTTAGTCTCAACTTTTCAAGTTCTAAATAATATTCCAAAGAAAACTATGGCAGGAATTGGTACATTTCCCCCTTATCAGTTTCCTCCTTTCTCCCAGTAGAGCTCAGGATTTTTACTAGGGCACTTGCCCTCTGGGAACAGAGATTGTATTTCTCAGACTCCCTGTGACTAACTTCTAGCCAACGGGCTCTGAGCGGAAGCCCACTTGCAGTTCCCTGCGTGCGTCCTGTGGCACACTTCCCCTTCTCTTTCATCTTCCTTCCCTCTGACAGAATACGAAGAGTGAGGAGCCACTTCAGACCACATGGATGGAAGAAACTGTGTCAAAGGGATGGGAGGACAATAAAAGTGAAACAGCCCAGGCAGCCTTGCAGGACAGAACTGCTATTCCACCTCTGGACTTGTTTTGTTTGTGTTTTTTTTGGTACCGGGGATTGAACTCGGGTCCTTGCACTTGCAAGGCAGGCCACTGAACCGCTGAGCTAAATCCCCAGCCCAACCTCTGGACTTGGTAGGAGCAAGAAACGGACCTTCTTTTGTTTGTGTTTGTGTATGTGAGTGTGTGTGTGTCTTGGTACTGGGAATTGAACTCAGGACCTTGTACTTGCGAGGCAGGCAGCAGGAGCACTGAGCTAAATCCCCAGCCAACCCCTCTTTTTTTGAACTGGGGATCAAACTCAGGACCTTGCATTTGAGAGGCATGTGGGGTACCTCTGAGCTAAATCCCCAGCCAGGAACAGACCTTCTTAAGATACTGTTAATTAAAATATAGTTAAACCACAGCTAATATAGGCACGTTTCTATTATGATAAATTTATATATTAAGAAATAATGTATTTACTGTATTTAGCTTTTCTTGACTGACAGACTAAATACACTAAAGTTATATTTCACTGATTACTTTATTTTTCCTCATTAGAGTTTTGCCATTTTCTTTGGAAAAAAATCTCGTTATCTTAAACTAAACTACCATTGAAGTATTTCTGGGGTTGGGGATTTAACTCAATGATAGAGAGCTTGCCTAGCAAGCATGAGGCCCGAGGTTTCGTCCTCAGCACCAAAATATTTTTTTAAAGAAGAAAAAAAAACAAACCTCAAGACAAGTGTCTTTTTTTTAAATCTTTTCCTTATTACTGTAAACACAGTCCCCCTCAACTCCAATTATAACTGTGAAGCAAGATTTTTACCAATCCTAGACTGCAAGAATTTTTGTCCCGGTGTATCATTCTGTGTGAGTAGTTTAAAAAAATAGTGCCAAAGACCTTATTAGGAAACCCTTGCTGAAGAATCTACTGAATTCTTAAATAAGCAGTTAGAACAACTGAGACTGGGAAAATTTTCAAACACCACAACTTTGTGGTTACCTGACATGTGTAAGCCAAATGGTGGTACCAGCAGACTGCCTACAGCCAGTACACACATAAAACTGAAGTTTCTGAGATGCCTGAGTTTTTATATCCAGAACAACACTCAAATCACATCAAGATGGGCTTCCACAGAGTCAAGCTGACTGAGGTGAGAATAAGGATCCAGACTGACCTCTGTATGCTCTGCTGATGAGCTGGGCAGCAGATGGCTCTTAGTCCTACTCAGCCCCTTGACCATCAGCTGTGAAATACATTTCCCAGACTCTCTTGCCAGTTAAGCTGTGGCCCTGGGATGTGTTGGTGAAGACTGGGAAAGGGAAGTTGTCTATTCCATGACTTGGTAGAGCTTCTAACAAGAGCAATGGCAGCGGGCAATGGAGGCTGTTGAGGGTGCCTACAAATGACACTAGGAGCAGCAGTGGGTGTCCAGGATTCCAGGTAACTACATGGCAGAAGCCACGGCATGTCCATAGCTTTGTGACACAGACACGCCTCAGCCCAGGACTGACAGTGGCTTCCTGATCTTTGGAGAACACGTTCTTCTGACTTTGGTGTCCTGCAGCCTTCCAACACTTTTCCAGGGAATATTTAAGCCCACTCTGCCTGAATTAAGTGCAGTGCTCTCTGGTTTCCTGCAGGACACTGACTGGTCCATCAGATGATGATCATTTGCTGCCCCGGCCAGCGGGATTCGTTATTAGTAGGGCTCGAGGAGGGGAACACCCGGATCAGGAACGGGAATGACGCAGGAAGACAAGAACAAAACAGAGCTCTTTTAGTGGTCAAATTTTGACAATTTTTATTTCTCACACAGCAGCTTTTATGCAGGCAGGGATGAGCAGGGACCTTCCCGGTTGCTAGGTTACCTAACCTAGGCTGGTCTAGCTAGATAAGGTAGGGCATGGCCAGAATGTCGCTGGGAGGGGTTAGGATGTCCCCGGGAGGGTGTAAAGTTCCTATCAAGGGCGCACACACACACACACAAGGTGGAGGGGCACACACGGAGGGTGGAGGTGCACATAGGTCTTGGTCTCCAACAATTTGCCACTTACAGACCAGCGGTATCAAGCAAGGGCAGGAGTGGCTCTGGGAACCTGCCTGCTCCTACCATCACTGCCACGCAGTGGGGATTTGTTGCTTTTCAGTCACCGCGGGGAGCTCAGGAGAGCCACAGGAATATGTACCTGCAGCCCCACACCTGTGTTCAGCTCCTCTGCCTACCACTGTAAAGTCTAGGGCAAGTTACTCTCTCTGTAGCTCAGTGTCCTCATCTGTAACCTGGATACAGCATTATCTACCTCGCTGGATTACTATGAATATATGCAACCCAATGTGTGAAGCTCTAAGAGCAAGTCTTGCCCATAATAAGCACTATGGATGCACTTGTTGTCCCTACTGTCCTGACGCAGAGAGGAAGTTACAGGTGTCCAGTTTCCATTTACACAACTCATCCGGCAGGCTTTAAGGCACTTCATATCTTTTACTCACACTACTTCTTCTATAGCCGGAGGTATAGCCCAATCCTTCCATCATTCCTTCTCCTTCCCAGGTCTCTGGAGAGAGGCCACCTTCCTAAAGTCCCTCAGGCACTCACCCTAAGTCAGGACTTTGAGTGCCCTCTCCCCCTCCTCGACTCCTCTCTAAACCCACAGTTCCTCTAAGCACCCATGCTACCTTTCCAGGCCTCTCTCCCCAGTGGCCCTGCCCTGCATGATGACCAAGATGCCCTCTCCCTCCACTCAGCCCACACACCATGCCTGGGACTCCTGACAGCCAGTCTTCCCCTAATAGTCCCTGGCACTCTAAATCCCACATGCACAATTTAGGACTCCAAAGCCTAGTTTCCCCCATGCACAATCCTATTTTTTTTTTTCCTTTTTGTTTCCAGGGATTGAACTCAGGACCTTGCACTTACAAAGCAGGTGGCAGAACCACTGAGCTAAATCCTTGGCCCCACAATCCTATTCTTTTTTTTTTTTTAAGGGTTTCTTTTTATTATAAACCAAAGAAAAGAAAAATTCTTCTATGGAATAGAAATTTACATGTGTTTGTTTTTGATTATTCAGGGATAATTTAACCTATGCTAAGATATACATAGTTGAGAATCTAAACATACCCCTGATTTGACTGATTTTTTTAATGGTCCTAATTATTTTTTTTTAAATAAACTATCAGAGGGACCAGGGATTTAGTTCAGTGGTTCTGCTGCCTGCCTTGCAAATGCAAGGACCTGAGTTTGATCCCCGGTACCAAAAAATAAATAAAAATTAAAATTAAAAAAAATAAACTATCAGAAAAAGAAAGCCAGAAGAAATAGCTTAATAGTACCTAATATGAATTATTTAAAATTATTCCTCCAAAGTATATTTAATAACATGGCTTGAGTCCCTTTCTTTTTAAATAGTCATATAAAATTCTAGTACAACAAAACCAGTGAGTTTCACTTCACCTTATGTCAAAATC